CCACCATGCCCAGCTGATTTTTTGTATTTTTAGTAGAGATGGGGTTTCACTATGTTGACCAGGATGGTCTCGATCTCTTGACTTCGTGATCCACCTGCCTCGGCCTCTCAAAGTGCTGGGATTACAGGCGTGAGCCACCACGCCCGGCCACGTGCACCATTTCTACTGTACATATAGCCTACTCAACTTACGACCAAATCATGTTACGACCGGTTTGCCGGTCCCAATCGTGGTCGTAAGTCGAGCACTAGCTGTAGCTCCACTTTGTAAATGAGGAAATGGACATCTAGAGAGATTAAATAACTTGTCCAAAGGTGCATCGCTTGTCAGTGGTATAGTTGGGGCTAGAATCTGAGTCCAGCATGGGCACCCAAACCAGTACTCAGCTGTCATGCTAGAAAGTCTGCAAGAAACAGGAGAAGGTACATGTAAGTGGATGAATTCCATATATGTGAACTATATCTCAAAAGCCATTATTTAAAAAAAGAAATAAACAGTAGAAGGTGGTAAGCATGCTTCCCCTGGAGTCTGGGGGACACTAGAGACTGTTTTCTAAACGTTGCCAACAACACTAGAACCAGCATTCCCTTTTTTTGACATCTGTTGACAGCATCCTTGAGGTGGGAGGAAATAAGCTTGCGAAGTTGAATTTTAAGGCTTCCAACTAGAGTTTGGTCTCGCTGTGGTTCATTTCCTGTGATTGCATAGGCATTAGGGAGGGAGGGAGGCAAGCGAGCATGCTGCTCTCTTAAGACCCACATCTGACTGCTTTCAACTCAGGCAGCTTGCTTTGGATGGAGTTGGGGGAGATTGGTGAGGGGAAGGAAAAGGGGGTTTGAATAGGCTGGAAGGAAGGTAGGTTAGTGAGGACAGGGAAAGGGTAGGGGAAATTGTGATAGAAAAAGCAGAATGTCAAAGCATGTTAGGGCTGGATGGAATCCTAGAGGTAGCAGCCAGAGCTTTTATTCCCCTTTTCTGAGGCCCAGAGAAGTGATGGCCAATTTATGTAAATGGTTGGGACTATTTGTTTTTTTTATTCCTTTCCCGTGCTGGATTCTAGGGGAGAATACAGCAGAGACAAGATGCACAAACAATAAAGGGAATAACCTTCATTTGAGTAGGTACCTGGCAGAAGACTTGAGACAAAGTTGGAGACTCTGTAACTTTTCTCTGCAGGTTGTCCAAATAGTTCCAAATCCAAGAGGGAAATTGGCATGTGAGAGAGTATGGATTTCCCAAACGCTCAAATGGAGTTTGGAGTCTTAAATGACCTGGTTTGGCTCTCTACCTAGGAACTCTCCAGAAAACTTAAACTCCTCCCTTCAGTTTGTGTGACATAGACCAAGCAAGCCAGGAGTAAACGTTTCCATATTTGGCTTCATGAGACCGTCTCCACTAGGTTTTAAAAAAGAACGGAGACGGCTGTCTTTCTTTTGAACTGTTAGCCAAGAGTTTCATTGAGGAAACTGAGCAGCCCCGAACTGAAACCCACATGGAAGATGTCTGTGGTCCTTATAAGAAGCTGCCCACAATACTGTTTTCCCAGACCCCATCCTCATTACTGAGAAGGAGCAACCTTGCTCATTTGCGGAGTTCTCTGTGATTTAAGTCACATTGTTCCAGCAGACCCTGTCTTCAAAGGAATGTCCAAAGCGATTAGTACAAAGAGGAATTTGGAGTCAGAACCAACAGGGGTAAAGCAAGGAGGGAAGTGGTGTCACTCCCAGGGTGCAGATGCTTCCTGAGTGTTGGGAGTCACTGAGGCCTCGGGTTACCCGGTCTTCCTGGGTAACTTGAGCCCTCCCCACCCCGCAGCTTGCTGACTGAGGCAGATGCAGGTCACACGGAGTTCACTGATGAAGTCTATCAGAATGAGACCCGCTACCCCGGGGGCGACTGGAAGCCAGCGGAGGACACCTACACAGATGCGGTGAGCAGCCTGCTTCAGAGAGAAACCCTCACCTGTCACCTCTCATTGTAATCTGTGGGGAACCCAGCAGCCACCTGGCCTGGCTTTACCCTTCTCCTCTGCTCCATCTTATGTTCTGAAGAGGCTTCCTCTTATAACTTAAGCCACACCAGTGCCACAATATTTATTTTCTTTAGAATAGAAATGAGGCCTATTTAACTAGATGTTGGTACATGGTATCGTTTGGATTGTGCAAATTTTTTAGGTAAATTTTTATTATGAGCTAACAAGGGTTTGTTGTTGTTGTTTGAGGGTTTTTTGAGATAGAGTCTTCCTCTGTTTCCCAGGCTGAGTGCAGCAGTGCGATCATAGCTCACTGTAACCTCAAATTCCTGAGCTCAAGCAATCCTCCAGCCTCAGCCTCCCCAGTAGCTGGGACTACAGGCACATGCCACCATGGCAGACTAATTTTTTATTTTTTTGTAGCGATGGGGTCTTATATCACCCAAGCTTGTCTTGAACTCCTGGCCTCAAGCAATCCTCCAGCCTCAGCTTCCCAAAGTGCTGGGATTACCGGAGTGACACACCAAGCTTGGCCTAGTTTTTTGTTTTTAGTTTTCGTTTTTGTTTTGTTGTTGTTTTGAGACAGTGTTTTGCTCTTGCTGCCCAGGCTGGAGTGCAATGGCACGATCTCAGCTCGCTGCAACCTCCACCTCCTGGGTTCAAGCGATTCTCCTGTCTCAGCCTCCTGAGTAGCTGGGATTACAGGTGCATTTTTGTATTTTTAGTAGAGACGGGGTTTCATCGTATTGGTCAGGCTGGCCTCAAAGTCCTTACTTCAGGTGATCTGCCCACCCTGGCCTCCCAAAGTGCTGGGATTACAGGAGTGAGCCAGTGTGTTCAGCCAGCTCAGCCTAGTTTTTAATATCATAACACATGAACTGTTTTTGTCTTTAAAAAATCCAAGCAGTGTTAAAGGAAATCAAAAGTAATTCTTCTCCCAATCCATATTCCATTCCCCAAAGATAAACATTGATGTCTGTTTTCTGTTGGTATACAAGTATATAACTTCCTTTTTTCTGCCTAAATAGAATTGTGTTGTACACACAGTTCCACAGCTTGTATTTCTCACATGATAATGTATCTTGAACATTTTTTATATCAATGCATATAGATCTATGAGCTTTTAAAAATGGCCACAGAATGTTTGATTATATGCACCTGCTATAATTCATTTAATCCCCTCTTTCTGGGCATTCAGTTTTGAGTCGTTGGTTTTTATAAGCAGTGTAACAGTGAACATCCTTAAACATATATTTTTATTCACTTCTGAAAGTATCTATAGGAAAGATCCTTGGATTTGGTTGGTCTAGGTTTAAATGCATTTAAAATTTTGATAAAATTTTGTAACCTTTAAAAAGGTTTTATAAATTCATATTTTCAACAGAAGCACGAGGAGCCTGTTTGCCTTAAACATTCGCCATCCCACTTTGTAATCTTTGCCACATGAATAAGTGGTATCCTGTTGTTATTTCAATTTTCACTGTCTTCATCTAAAGTGAAGATAAGTATTTTTCCATGTTTATGGGCCACGTTTATTTACTTAGGAACTTTCTTTTCACAACTCTCTTCACTTTTATGTAAGTTTTATGCAGTTTATCGGCTTGTCAATATTTTATATAAATTTTGCTCAATTGTATATGATTAACATCATGAACCTCCAGCAGCATTTCCCTGTACTCAGAAACGTGTCTGCTGGGTGTGGTAGCTCACACCTGTAATCACAGCACTTTGGGAGGTCGAGGTGGGTACATCACTGAAGGTCAGGAGTTCAAGACCAGCTTGGCCAACATGGTGAAACCCCATCTCTACTAAAAATACAAAAATTAGCCAGATGTGGTGGCAGGCAACTATAGAGGCTGAGGCAAGAGAATCCCTTGAGCCTGGGAGGAGAAGTTACAGTGAGTTGAGATGGCACCATTGCACCCCAGCCTGGGTGACACAGCAAAACTGCATCTCAAAACAAAACAAAGCAAAAACAAAAAAACTCCAAACCATGTTTCTTTAATGTTTTACCCATTCTCTGATGGGTTCTTTCCCACGTAACACCTCATAAACACAGTTGCACCATTTCATAATATTAAGTTGAACCATAAGAAATTGCTGAGATTCAACCACTTTGACCTACAAAAACAGCAATTTCACATGATTGAACCTAATACTTTTCCCCAACAGTAAAAATATAAGGTAGTTTAAACTAATTTTTATTTAGCAGTTGTGCATAAATAAAGATCAGAGAGTTTTCTGAGTGAAATGGATCTCTAAGATGGTATCTAAGTAAAGGTGTGAATGCCATAGTTCAGTGGGAGGACTATATCTTGCTCTTTGCATCTGACTGACACGATGGCTTACCTCCCTTCTTTGTGTTTATTTTTGTTTTGTTAGAACGGCGATAAAGCAGCATCTCCCAGCGAGTTGACTTGTCCTCCAGGTTGGGAATGGGAGGATGATGCGTGGTCATATGACATAAATCGAGCAGTGGATGAGAAAGGTAACATTGTATACCTATGACCTGATTGGGGCTCTGCAGCAGGGCCTTGGTTAATCAGGGTGAAGTTGCCTTGGAAGGGAAGGTCCTCACTTCTGCTGGTCTATGGCAGAGGTCCCCAGTCTCCTGGCCATAGACCAGTACCAGTTCGTAACCTGCTAGGAACCGGGCCACACAGCAGAAGTGAGCCGTGGGCAAGTAGGCATCACCACCTGAGCTCTGCCTCCTGTCAGATCAGCGGCAGCATTAGATTCTCATGAGAGTGCAAACCCTGTTGTGAACTGCATGTGAGAGGGGTCTAGGTTGTGTGCTCTTTATGGGAATCTAGCCATCCTCCCCCCCAATCCCACAACCCTGTCCATAGAAAAATTTTCTTCCATGGAACCTGTCCTTGGTGCCAAAAAGGTTGGGGGCTGCTGGTCTGTGGCAGCTGGGTCACATGGCAGTCAAATGTAGACTAGTCAAATGTAGAATCCAAAGGACAGGCAAGTGTATGGACAAGTGCTAAGTGGGCAGGAGGGTGTTAAGAGTGAAAAACAGGCCAGGTGCGATGGCTAACGTCTGTAATTCCAGCACTTTAGGAGGCTGAGGTGGGTGGATCATGAAGTCAGGAGTTCAAGACCAGCCTGGCCAACATGGTGAAACCCTGTCTCTACTAAAGATACAAAAATTAGCCAGGCACGGTGGCAGGAGCCTGTAATCTCAGATACTTAGGAGGCTGAGGCAGGAGAATCGCTTGAACCAGGGCAGCAGAGGTTGCACTGAGCTGAGATCATGCCACTGCACTCCAGCCTGGGCAACAGAGTGAGACTTTGTCTCCAAAAAAAAAAAAAAAAAAAAAAAAAAAAAAAAAAAAAAAAAAAAAAAAAAAAAAAAAAAAAAGAAAAAACATAAACCATGTACAGTGAGTACGGTGATGCACTGTAAAACAATGTTTCAGTCAGGATGGACTGCATGTGTGACAGTGGCCCTATAAGAATATCACGGAGCATATATAGAAGAAACCTCGTCCATGGAACTTGATGTGGCATTGCAGATCCAGTAGGGGTAACAGTCGATAGTCAGTAATGGTGCTGGGGCATTTGGTTTTCCATAGGCAGAAATATATGTGCAGGCGTGGTGGCTCACATCTGTAATCCCAGCACTTTGGGAGGCTGAGGAGGGCGGATCACTTGAATTCAGGAGTTCAAGACCAACCTGGCCAACATGGCAAAACCCCGTCTCTACTAAAAAAAAAAAAAATACAAAACTTAGTTGGGCACGGTGGCGCACCTGTAGTCCCAGCTACTTGAGAGACTGAGGCGGGACGATTGCTTGAACCGGAGAGGCGATCATTGCAGTGAGCTGAGATTGCACCACTGCACTCCAACCTGGCAACAGACCAACACGTGTCTCAAAAAAAAAAATCATAAAAAATAAAAGCTCTATATATACACACACATGCGTTTTTGTGTGTGTGTATGTGTGTGTGTGTGTGTGTGTGATAGAATAAAACAATATATACCACCTCGGTTGGTGTAAATACACTCTTTGATGTTCATTCAATGAAAAAATTGCCTAAAGACTTATTGCTCAGAAGGTAACTCCATGGTTAAGCAATGGATGACTGTTTTTAAGAATACAGCATTTTCCCATTTAAAATATTAATATTTTCCTCATTGTGGATTTTTGGTGTTAATTTTGATGTCTTTGAATACTGCATTACAATATGATTTCTCTCGGTTAGTGAGTTTTTTTGGCGTCTCCTTGAATTTTGCACCCAGGCTAGTGTCTCACTGGCCTCACTCTAATCTCTTAGCTCAGGGTGATGTGGCAGCTCACACTTAGGCGGCATCAATAAAAGGATAACTTGGCTGGGCGCCGTGGCTCATGCCTGTAATCCCAGCACTTTGGGAGTCCCAGGGGGTTAGATCACCTGAGGTCAGGAGTTCAAGACCAGCCTGGCCAACGTGGTGAAACCCCATCTCTACTAAAAATACAAAGATTAGCTGGGCGTGGTGGCACATGCCTGTAATCCCAGCTACTAGGGAGGCTGAGGCAGGAGAATCACTTGAACCCGGGAGGCGGAGGTTGCAGTGAGCTGAGATCTCGACATTGCACTCCAGTCTGGGCAACAAGAATGAAACTTCATCTCAAAAAATAAAAAAGTAAAATAAATATATAAATAAAAGGATCAATCAGGGTGTAGTCGGTCGCACTTGTGATCCCAGCACTTTGGGAAGCTGAGGGAGGATCGTTTGAGTCCAGGAGTTCGAGACCGGCCTAGGTAACATAGTGAGACCCCCTGTCTCATCTCTACAAAAGTTAAAAATATTAACCGGACGTGGTGGCATGTACCTATAGTCCCAGCTACTCAGGAGCCTGAGGCAGGATGAATGCTTCAGCCCAGGAGGTTGGGCTGCAGTGAGCGATGATTGCACCACTGCACTCTAGTCTGGGCAACAGAGCAAAACACTGTCTCAAAAAAAATAATAAAATAAGAAACAGAATCACATCTGGTGTGAAGTTTGTACTCCTGGGGAGGGTCTTTGGTTCTGAGTGACAAGCTCACGTAGGGTCCCTCTAAGGGAGACAGGATGTGAGAGACACAGGAACACACCTCCCCAAGTCCCCTAGGAAGAGAGCTGACTTGGGATCTGAACTCAAGTTACTGAAGGGTTATTACTCAATCAAGGGAATGGAGCTATTCTCTGTGGCTCCAGAGAGGAGGACGATTACAGAGAAAATTTCCAGGGAGGCCAAAGGCATCTCAGTTTAAGAGAAGAAACCATTTCCAAGATGCCGTGGTATTCCCATGCCGTCTTGGTTCAGGAGGGGCTGTTCAGGAGAAGCTGGGGACCCTCCGTAAGAGGCTCTGGAGAATTCCAGCATCTGAAGGCTGCAGTTTGGGGGCTTTACCATACATACACACACACGCGCGCACACACACACGCGCACACACACGCGTGCACACACACTATGTATCCATATATGTATAATATATGTTTGAGGCAAATTAAAATTAAACTTACTTTCCATTCTTCTGAGATCTTTAGATTATTTAGATTATTAGATCTCTGAGATTATTTGTGAAACTTCAAGATTAAAAAAATAACAACAGCAAGAAACAAGGCTAAGAATCAGCATCCCAGGCTCCTTCCTCTTAATTCTATTAGCCACAAAAATTAAGCTCAGCAAAGACAAAGACACTTCTGTTACCTCCCAATTAGTCTTCCCTGTTTGGGCACAGTCCCAGACCTCACTCCCGGTGCCTGTGCATGGATTCCTGGCAAGAGAGGCGCCATCCAGGGCTCAGTGCCAAGGCTCCTCTCTCAGTTCCGTCCTGAGGGTGTCCTTGAGCTCACTCCGGACAGAGGCTCTTCCTCCTACTGCCGGGTCCTCAGATCCCAGCTCCCTAAGCAGGGATTTATGTCTTGCCATTGCTTCCTTTTTTTTCTTTTTTCTTTTGAGACGGAGCCTCGCTGTCCCACAAAAAAATAAAAATAAAAAATAAAAAATTAAAATTAAATGGGAACACTTCCGCTATGACAGGAAATATCCTCTCTTTTTTACATAGGTATTCGGAGTACATAATTTTGTAACTTTGTTTCATCCTCTTCATTTGCCTAGGGCGCATCAAGTAGCCTCTAGAGGGTGTTTAAACCCCAGAAAATTCTGCAGTTGGTCTCTTGAGCACCTATGCTCAGCCCGCCCCCACCCTGTGAAGTGTACTTTCTTTTTTTTTGAGACTGAACCTCATTCTGTTGCCCAGACTGGACTGCAGTGGTGTGATCTCAGCTCACTGCAACCTCCGTTTCCCAGGTTCAAGCCATTCTTCTGCCTCAGCGTCCTGAGTAGGTGGGATTACAGGCACCTAACACTAAGCCCGGCTAATTTTTGTATTTTTAGTAGAGAAAGAGCCAAGAGAGCCAAGATCAAGCCACTGCACTCCAGCCTGAGAAACAAGAGTGAAACTTTGTCTCCAAAAAAAAAAAAAAAAGTGAAAAACATCAGGCGATGGGGGCCACCTGTTTGGGTTTTGAGATGCTTAGGGATCCATGATGAGAATTTGGAGGGAGCTGCAGTCAAGGTTTTCTCTATTCTAACCATACCCCATAATCTCCCTGGGAACACCACATTCAGGCGCCCCCTGGCTCAGAAAAGAAAGCTGTAAACTGCCCTTAAAGTCATCGTATGCACCAATAATGCAGATTATTGATATAACTTCTGGTGTTTGTCTTTTTCTCACTTAATTAAAATTAAGTGAACAATAGCATTTGGAATTATCAAAATAGAAAACCTGATTCATTTCTTTATGCATGGAGCATAGAACTGACATTGACCCAGAAGATTTCACATGAATTATAAGCTCCTTGCTGATCTCGATGCACACACCAGATCTTAGAATAATCGTGAGCATTGATTGGGCAATAACTGTGTGCTAAGTATGGCCCTCATGCATTGCATATGTAATTTTGATAGTGTTAAAATACTGTAACCCTATAAAAAGGTGTGTTTTATCTTTACAATGGGGAAATTGGGCCATAGGCAGGTTTACCAACTTGCAGGAAACTTATTTAGTTAACAGCCAACATGTGGTGATGCTAAGATTTGAACCCAGGCTGTGTACCCGCACAGCCCACACCCTCACCTGTGGTTTCTCCTGCCTCTTGAATTGGGCTCTATTCTTAAGTGCATTCAATTACCATGAATGACCAGAAGCATAAAAGTGGAGGAGAACCCCATGGCCACCAAGGAAGTATTTTGAGGAACTCAATGGGAACGAGGCTATATTCAGTTTGGCTGGACATCCCAGCAAAATGAAAAGAGCCACACATTCGGTCATGATAGTAGAGTGTCTGGGGGCTGGGAGAGTGACTGAATGTTTCCTGGAGGTTTATTTGGTGATCTGGCAAGTGCATCTCTTTTGGGTAACCATTTACAAACTCTGTTCCAGGCTGGGAATATGGAATCACCATTCCTCCTGATCATAAGCCCAAATCCTGGGTTGCCGCAGAGAAAATGTACCATACTCATAGACGGCGAAGGCTGGTCCGAAAACGCAGGAAAGATTTAACACAGACGGCTTCAAGCACCGCGAGGGTAAGAGGAGTCAGTGAAGAGAGCTGGACTGAGGAGCTCTGCCCTCCTGACCACAAAGTCCCAGCTAACTAGGCGTTTCTGCAAAAACTATTTGCAAATCCATTAGGCTGCACTTGAGGTTCTCAAATTGAGCTCACCGCAGCCGGCAATATCACCATACCTGGGAATATGTTAGAACTGTCCCATCCCAACGCTACTGATTTAGAAATCCTGCGGCTGGGCCCAGCCGTCTGTAGTTCAGCAAATCATCCTGGTGATTCTGAGGCAGGATAAATGTTGAGAACTGCTACAGAGGTGTTAAAAGAAATGGAAATTATTTTGGCAGCATAATATAGTAGCAGCAGTCGCTTAGAACTTGGAACAAGATGTGTGAGATTCAAACTCTGACTTCCCTTCCTTTCTCATCTGCAAAATGGGAATAATATCTATACCTTCTAATTAGGGTATGGTAAGCTTTAAATGAAATAATAATTTTGGGCCGGGCGCGGTGGCTCACGCCTGTAATCCCAGCACTTTGGGAGGCCGAGGCGGGTGGATCACTAGGTCAAGAGATTGAGACCATCCTGGTCAACATGGTGAAACCCCGTCTCTACTAAAAATACAAAAAATTAGCTGGGCATGGTGGTGCATGCCTGTAATCCCAGCTACTCAGGAGGCTGAGGCAGGAGAATTGCCTGAACCCAGGAGGCGGAGGTTGCGGTGAGCCGAGATCACGCCATTGCACTCCAGCCTGGGTAACAAGAGCGAAACTCCGTCTCAAAAAAAAAAAAAAAAAGAATAATTTTGATAGAACAATAACACTCATAGTAAGTGGCATGTATAGAAGGGGCTTTCTATAAGGCTAGGTACTGAATAGGCATCACCTAAAGTCTCTAAGGTTTGGATTTTATGGCCGTTTTACAGATAATGCTCACGGAGTTTAAGTAGACTTGCTCTAGGCCAAGTATCTAGTAAGTGGCAAAGCTGGTGTTGTAATAGGAACACCAGGAACACTCTCTATTCCACAGAATGCGTAACTCTAGTAGGTGCTATGACATTAATTTTATTAGATGGTGAGCTTCTGGAAGCAAAAATGGAGCCATAGTCATCTTAGTATCCTCCTTGCTAACTCAGAAATGTGCTCCCAGTAAATAATCTAGTCAAATAAATGAGCTAATGAATGAGTCGTTTTTTACAATTTAATTTTAAGTTCCAAGATACATGCCCAGGATGTGCAGGTTCATTCCATAGGTAAACGTGTCCCTTGGTGGTTGGCTGCTCCTATCAACCCATCACTTAGGTATTAAACCCAGCATGCATCAGCTGTTTATCCTGATGCTCTCCCTCCCTCCACCCCCTGGCCCCAGTGTGTGTTGTTTCCCTCCCTGTGTCCATGTGTTCTCATTGTTCAGCTCCCACCTGTGAGAACACGTGGTATTTGGTTTTATATTTCCATGTTTGTTTGCTGAGGATGATGGCCTCTAGCTCCATCCATGTCCCTGCAAAGGATACAGTCTCATTCCTTTTTATGACTGTATAGTATTCCATGGTGTGTATGTAGCACATTTTCTTTATCCAGTCTATTATTGATGGGCATTTGGGTTGATTCCATGTATTTGCTATTGTGAATAGTGCTACAATGAAAATATGCATGCATGCTTCTTTATAATAGAATTATTTATATTCCTCTGGGTATGTACCCACTAATGAGATTGCTGGGTCAAATGGCATTTCTGGTTCTAGGTCTTTGAGGAATCGCCACACTGTCTTCCACAATGTTGAGCTAATTTACACTTGCACCAACAGTGTAAAAGTGTTCCTATTTCTCCACAGTCTGACCAGCATCTGTTGTTTCTTGACTTTTTAATAATCTCTATTCTGACTGGCGTGAGATGGTATCTCATTGTGGTTTTTATTTGCATTTCTCTAATGATCAGTGATGTTGAGCTTTTTTTCATGTTTGTTGGCCGCATAAATTTCTTGAGAAGTATCTGTTCATGTCATTTACTCACTTTTTAATGATGTTGTTTGTTTTTTTTCTTGTAATTTTGCTTAAGTTCCTTGTAGATTCTGGATATTAGACCTTTGTCAGATGGATAGATTGCAAAACTTTTCTCCCATTCTGTAGGTTGCCTGTTCACTCTGGTGATAGTTTCTTTTGCTGTGCAGAAGCTCTTTAGTTTAATGATTGCATTTTTATTGTTTAATTATCCCATTCTGATGGGGTGAGAAATTTCTAGAGATGCTGGAACCCTCTCCCACATGAGAGCACCAAGTTGAAGTGGAAGGAACACTGAGCCACCAGTTGGAAGGCTCTGGCTATGGCCCAGCTCTACCAATGAGTATTGCTGAGACTTTGATCATGTTTCCTAACCTGCCTTACTCTTGCCTATGTGAAATCTTTCACTGCTACTATTAATATTACTAGAGGGTCAGGCACAAGATTATGCTTAACCTGCATTTTACATTTATTCAAAGTGAAAAAAATAGACCCAACGACAGTAATTACCCACATGGAGCTCTTATTTCTCAGATTGTAAATATTATTCCATAATATTTTACATTTATTAAATCCAGTCATACTTTTAAGATAGTTAAATAAAATTTCTGCCATGAAAATGTCAGCTGCATGAAGGCAAAGACCCTATCTTTTCTTCACTGTGTCCTTACCCCTAACATGATCCCTGTCACATAGTAGGCACTCAGATTTCTTGAATGAATAGAATACAACATTGAATACTGATACCACTTGTATATCAATAGTTTTTAAGCTGAAAAGTAGCATACAAATCTGTCATTGGTTATTACAGAAAGAATATATTCTGACCTGTCACTTTATTAGTTATGGCAGCTATTAGCTCAGGCAAAACATTTAAACCTTGGCGGGGGGCGTTTACTTTTTTTCGTACCTATGTAAAGTGGAGATACCAATGTTTTACAAACTATATCACACTAGCAACGTTTTTATGTACTAATGAAGTGAGAAAACCGAAAGCAATTTGAGAAAGAGTCTACTTGCTTCACCCACCCCAAGTCTGAATGAGGTGCACCTCGTGAGGGTCGGTCCCCTGTGGAGCTGTAATTGCCTGCTTATCTCTCTGCACTCCCACAGTCCATCGGCTCTGCAAGGGCACAGATCCTGTCTGTTTTTTTCTTTTCTGTATTCCTGGCTCTAGCTCAGTACTTGGCAAAGAGCTGATTTTGAATACTATGTATCTGCTGATTGATCAAATGACCTGTTTTATCAGGATAAGGAATATCATCATCAGCAGCATTGTCATCATCATTAACATTTTTACTTCTGTTTTAGGCCATGGAGGAATTGGAAGACCAAGAAGGTTGGGAATATGCTTCTTTAATTGGCTGGAAATTCCACTGGAAACAACGAAGTTCAGATACCTTTCGCCGCAGACGCTGGAGGAGAAAAATGGCTCCTTCAGAAACACATGGTGCAGCTGCCATCTTTAAACTTGAAGGTGCCCTTGTAAGTACTAGGTTGCCAGAGCACAGATCGTATTGGTGTAGAGAAAATATGTGAGTGTTAGATACAGCACTGCCAACTCCACAGAAATGCCTGTCATTCCAGCACCATAAGATGGCAAATATTAACAGGTTGAGAGAAAGCCACACATCCTGGGTACTCAGTACCTCCTGTCGAATGAACAGACCACGAACACAGGAGTGTTCTAAGAAATACTCCTGCTGACACACCTGCTTCACCTAGCATTTTCCACATGTGTCTGTTCCAGGACCCTTGTTTCGGGTAACATCTGTTCACCTCCCAGACACAAGTTCCTTAAATCGTATCTTAGAAGCTGCAACTGTTCAACAAACCAAAAAAGTTAAATATACAGATGTGAGGGGGAGGAAATCAGAGGGCTAGATCACAAAATTAGAGAGCAATTCATACAGAAGCACAATAAAGAAGTCGGGGAAAAAGCAGGCAGGTGGAAGGAAGGGATAGGAGAATGGCAATGGGTGATCTAAAACAATAGGGGGCCGGGTGCGGTGGCTCACGCCTGTAATCCCAGCACTTTGGGAGGCTGAGGCAGGTGGATGACGAGGTTGGGAGTTCAAGACCAGCCTGGCCAAGATGGTGAAACTCCGTCTCTAACAAAAATACAAAAATTAGCGGGGTGTGGTAGCAGGTGCCTGTAATCCCAGCTACTCGAGAGGCTGAGACAGAGAATTGCTTGAACCCAGTAGTTGGAAGTTGCAGTGAGCCGAGATCATGCCACTGCAGTCCATCCTGGGGTGACAGAGCGAGACTCCATCTCAAAAATAAAATAAAATATAAAATAAAACAATAGAGTGGTCAGGAACCGTGCCCCAACAGCCTATTTTTGTATTTCTGCACTGTGACCCACTGCGTTCTCCTGCTGCTGCTGCTCTTTCTCTTCCTTATCCCGTCCTTTTACTCCCTATTGCTCCTCTGCATTTTTTCTTTTTTTCCCTTTTTCTCAGCATCAGGGTTTGGCAAACCTGGACTGGAGGTAGGAGGGCTGGCTCCCACTTCCTGCTTGGCTGCTTTCCAGCTAAGCAACTTCAGGGAAGTCACTTGCTATCCTAGGACTTACTCCTCTTAAAAAAAAAAGGGGGGGGTGGGATTTTGGATGATAGCATCTTTACAAAGCTAGAATTCCATTTGTTTGGGATTCTTGCCTCTGGGTTGGTTGGCTTGCTTTTAGGCAGTGTTTCCTGACTCCTCTGCTAACTGACTCTGTTAATTGACTTTAGGGGGCAGACACTACGGAAGATGGGGATGAGAAGACTGTGGAGAAGCAGAAGCACAGCGCCACTGCTGTGTTTGGAGCAAACACACCCATTGTTTCCTGCAATTTTGACAGTGAGTTTTATTTTTTTTAATTTATTTTTATTCATTTTTATTTGAGATGGAGTCTCACTCTGTCACCCAGGCTGGAATACAGCGGCGTGATCTCGGCTCACTGCCACCTGCCAGGTTCAAGCAATTCCCCTGTCTCAGCCTCCTGAGTAGCTGGGACTACAGGTACACGTCACCATGCCCCTGGCTAATTTTTTGTATTTTTAGTAGAGACAGGGTTTCGCCATATTAGCCAGGCTGGTCTCGACCTCCTGACTTCTGGTAATCCACCCACCTCAGCCTCCCAAAGTGCTGGGATTACAGGCGTGAGCCACTACACCTGGCCAACAGTGAATTTTAAACATGACTTTGTGAATTCCACTTCCTTTTATCTCAAGGAAACTTCAAATCACCAAATATGATTTTAAAATCTCTTCATGCAAATATGACTTTCATTTTCATCCTTGATGAAAGGGGTTTTTAAAAATACAGTTGAAAACCATGTCATATTTAAGGTGAAGTGTGATCAAATCACTGATTTTAACAGTCTATCTAAGATGTGTTTATCTAGTAAGCCTCCAAAATTGAAATTTTAACTATGAAAAAAGACACAAAAAATTAAATAAAAGTTGGTTTCAGTAATAACCTTCAGGATTTGGAGGCTGAGAGAGACCTACTCTACAATAATATTAACAAACACTAACATAGGTCTTAGCTCTTAGCATGGGCTAGGAACTATACATATTATAACTTGGTTAATCCTCCTGACAACACTATAAAGTAGGTGATATTATTGTCCCCATTTTACAGAAGTGGGAACCAAGGCACAGGAAGATTAAATAACTTGCCCAAAGTCTTATGGTTAGTAAGCATTAGAGACAAGATTTGAACTCAGATAGTGGAGCTCCCAGAATCTGTGCATGGCATCACAAAGCTCTGCTATCTCACAGAGAGCGAGAGACAGAGAGAGTGTCAGAGAAAGAGAGAGACAGACACAGAGTGTCAGAAAGAGAGAGACAGTGTCAGAGAGAGAGAGAGAGAGAGACAGACACAGAGTGTCAGAGAGAGAGAGACAGAGAGTGTCAGAGAGAGACAGAGAGAGTGTCAGAGAGAGAGCGTCAGAGAGAGAGAGAATGTCAGAGGAAGAGAGACAAACACAGAATATAATAAAAGAAGGTGTATGAAGAGTTTGAAATGTCACAGAAAGTTTTAGAAGATAACTGTTTCCCAGATCTGGTGCCGAAGTAGTATAGAAAGCCCTATTCCTATAACTGCTGGAGACCCAGTTTCATTTGAAAGGTCTGTGATGACAAGCAGCACCCTACATTCAGTTAGTTTATAACAGAGGTAATGTTTTCCTGATTGACACACTTTTCACTGAGCTTACTAAGTATTTTTTAAAAAGAATACATATGAATATTTTAAGACCAAGTCTCACTCTGTCGCCCAGGCTGGAGTGCAGTGGCGTGATCTCAGCTCATTGAACTACTTTGGGAGGACACATCATCACTACACTATGTGCTCTTTACTGTGGGAACTATAACAGATTCAGGTGGCCCATTTATCAGAAACATGTATTTTTTTTCCAAATATTCCAGTAAAGTAGCAGTTTACAGTGTTACATTTATTTTTGTTTGTTTGTTATGTTTTTTGTTACATTTCTTGTAAGTAATCGTCATTTTGCTTTTTAGGAGTCTACATCTACCACCTGCGCTGCTATGTCTATCAAGCCAGAAATCTCCTGGCTTTAGACAAGGATAGCTTTTCAGGTAAAGGGAAACAATCTTCATGCTACACATGATTATACAGCATGCTATTCACTTCTATGTGTCAAGTGAATGCCTTCTGTCCTTTCTAACAAAAACCCTTTTCATGTGGAGATTATTGTTGCATCCTGGAAGCAAACTTGCTCAATCATTAGATAAATCATCACTGAAACCTTTAGGCACCATTGCTGGGTGCTAGTGATACACAGAAGATCCTTTGGTACTGATAGATATTAATTGATTAAGTAATAAGAAGCACCGAGAAAGTGAGTTCTCATCTCTGTTTATATACATGGCTGTGTTTTCATCCCCGGACCCTTGGGTTGATTGGGAAGTTAAAATCCTTTAAATTTTTCTGTAGGTTCTCTCAAGGTATCAAAAAGATGACAAGTTTGCCGTCTGCCTACAGCACCAGGCTTTGAGCAGTTTAGAGTTCATTTTAACCTCCTCCTCTGCCTGCTCCCCAGATACCCGATACCGTGAAGCTCTGTCGTCTCTTGCACTGACACCCCAGCTGCTTTTGTTGCTTTGGACTGGTTCTGAGAGGAAGGCTATTGGCAAGGGAGCGGGGAGGAGGGGAGAACATGCCTGCCTGGGGATTTGAGTCCTTGCTGCTCAACCATGGATTGAGCTATCTGGGGAGCATTCCACTTCAGGACTCAAAGCCCAGCAGAGCTTCCCTGGGCTTTCTATGGAAACAACTCTTAACCCCATGTCCCGTTTGCCCTGAACTGCACTTTTTTATTCCAACCGGGAAATGTGTTAAAGCATTTGCCTGACTCTCATGTGCTCACATCAATTTTGAAGCATGTTTCAAGCACTAATATTTACCAATATTTGTGAATGGTTTCCTTGATACAAATTTGACCAGATTCAAGATTATCACTGCAATATACATCTCCAATGTGGTCTTTGAAGACATTTTCAAATATTTTCCACCAGAGGGCACTCTATCACTGAAAGTCAAAAAAAATATTTCCAAAATTCGTGACTAAAGCTTCATAAAACTTTAAGCACATTCCTTGCAGTTTGAGATAGAAGAATTATCATCAGGGCAAAAGCAAAGGGTTTATATGATGGCTCCACTTCTAGAAACCAAGCACTTTTAGCTTATACAAGAGTTTCAGGCTAGATACTGTGTTATTTTTCAGATAGGTCAGCCCCCAGGCAACTGCAAAAAGGTTTGATGAAATTATTTAGCATGAAGGAGAACATAGATTATTTCTCCATACACAACATTGCTTTCTCTCCATTCTTTATTTTATTTACTTGTTTATTTTGAGAAGGAGTTTTGCTGTTGTTGTCCAGGCAGTGCAATTGTGCGATCTTGGTTCACCGCAACTTCCGCCTCCCAAGTTCAAGCAATTCTCCTGCCTCAGCCTCCCAAGTAGCTGGGATTACAGGCATTCACCACCACACCCTGCTAATTTTGTATCTTTAGTAGAGATGCGGTTTCACCGTGTTGGTCTCAAATTCCTGACCTCAGGTAATCCACCCACCTTGGCCTCCCAGAGTGCTGGGATTGCAGGCATGAGCCACCGCACCCAGCAGCTTTCTCTCCATTCTTAAGTATAGTGAGTCAACGTTTTCTGCTGTCACAGATTGTAAACTATGAGCATCTGAACTTTTCCTGTTCCTCTTGTACTCTTGAGACCTGGCACTCAATAAATACTTGCTGAATGGATTATCAACAACATTAAAAACAAATATAATAAAAACTAGCATTTATCAGATACTCCCTATAGGACAGGCTCTATCCTAAGTAGCTAACATTCCTTATGTCGTTTTATCCTCAACACTGTGAGGCAGATATTACTTTCATGCATGGAGGAGGGAACCAAGGTTTAGGAAGATTATTTTCCCCTCAAAGTTATGCAGCAGGGGTGAAGGGCAGGTATTGAACCTGGGTTGTATCTGACTGCAGAGCCTTCCCTCAACCACGACTGCAGTGCTCTTGCAGAGGAAAACTGTGGGCCCAATTACCCTTGGTGAGGACATACTCCAAAGAGATACCTCTCAGTACACGTCGGGGTCTCGCTTCAGGTGTCTCTGCTGCAGTACCAGAACCTTCCATGGGGAACTCCCTGCTCCCTAGAAACCCTCTCTCCAGGAGGATGGTGAGAGCCCACCGTCATTATATCCAGAGGGAAAGAATGTGGTTGCAGTGAGTGGTCTTAGGGAGTTAGATTCTAGCCATGGCCCCATTGTTCTTCTCGCTTTCTGTTTTAGATCCGTATGCTCATGTCTCTTTCCTCCATCGGAGCAAAACCACTGAAATCATCCGTTCAACCCTGAATCCCACGTGGGACCAAACAATTATATTCGATGAAGTTGAAATCTATGGGGAACCTCAAACAATTCTACAGAATCCACCCAAAGTGATCATGGAACTTTTTGACAATGACCAAGTGGTAGGTCATTTAGAATTTCTTTTTTTTTTTTTTTTTTTGACGGAGTTTCACTGTTGTTACCCAGGCTGGAGTGCAATGGCGCGATCTC